TAAACGTGCTTATATTTTTGCCATGGTGACTGACCCACACTTCTAAACTTGGAAATTTGGATGGGTGACCCAACAATAATTGTTTTCCCTGGCGATAATTGTTAAGGATTTTACGCGGGGTCTTCTTAAGTTAAGGGTGAGGTATAGGACTGCGTTTGGGTTTAGGACCAGGCCGCATTAGGTATAGGGCAAGAGTTGCAAAAATGGGTTGAAGCTTTGGGTTGGTTTAAGATTATAGAGTAGCTATTGGACAATGTAGATGTTATGTTAGGTTTATAGGGAAATGGCAATTTTGGTCGCAATTAAATACGTTGTTGAGGTTAGGTTTAGGTTTATGGCAAGGGTTGCACTTGGGTTTTAGGTTAGATTCATGTTTAGGGTGAGGCCTAGGTAAAGTGATTGTTCGAGCGTTGATGTCGGGTAGTCGGATAGTATAGGAAATCGAATTCGGAGCAATTTTCCCAGAGTTTGTTGGATGTCATCTACCCTGTTTGGAAATAGAAGGACGTTAAATCATATCATTCTATACACGGTTTACACCCATTTGGCTCCAAACAGATGACATACGGATAATTTAATTTCGCTTGATCTTAAACATTATGGAGAGCCATTTGTAGCCTAAGAATTAAATATATTCAAAATCGAAAATTCAAGTATTTCATACTTTTTATAAATTCCACATCAAGAACATGACATCTCCTTGATAATAGAAAATATGAATGATTTGAATCAACATGTTATGCCTTTTAAAATAACTGTTACAATATTTTCGTAGATGCCAACGGCTTTCCATAGTTGTTAAGTCGAACTTAGAGGTAAGTTCAACTACGGATCTTTGTGAAACACTCCCCTGTTTTGTTATCTGTTGTATGTCATCGGTATGTACACACTAAAACCAACAGCATATACACCTCTTGCGAAATAAATTACTTAATATGCTGCAATCAGTTAGATTCTGTACATATTCAACTAATCACCTTTGTTTATCTGAAGCATTTGCATGCCTTGTAAATAAATCCGGGACATAAATAAGTCCGTCAGATTTTTGGCACAGGTGAACGTCACATGACCTCTTCGTTTTTTAAACGAGGTAAATAATAGCTTTGCGCAAATTGTCTCGTGAAAGATATCAATATTTGTTCACATGCATACAGTAAGACAAGACGAGTCCTTTGAAACCTCAAGAGGTTTTTTTGTTGATCCTGTCGCACAGCCCACGAGCTTGGTAAAGAGATATGTAGGTATATGTAGGTACACAGGCACCTGACATATTCCGCTTATCTGAGGGACTTGTTGAGACGCTACCAAAATATCAAGAGGGAGTATACCCGAAAGCCATCGTTTTGTTGAAATTCATAGAGACAAGCATTCCAAGTGCCTTCTCGTGATACTGTTTGCGTCTTATCAAATTTATATCAAGTCCGTGAACAGGGGGAAAATCCAGATATTTGTAGCAGGGGAATGATTATATTTCTTTCGTACTGTCGTTAGTTACATTAAAGTGACTCGGTAACATTGTTGAAGGTTGATGAAAAAACTGCGTAATATTGTATGAAATGTTACTTATTATATTCCTTCTATACTGTACTAACCCTCTAAAATGCGAAAACCCTTCAACAATTCTCAAACCACGAAGACATTTATGTTTTTCTGTAATATAGATGTTGTGAGGTTATAAAGAGTCGAGGGAACGGGAACATAATTTTATCACGTCTATTTTTCTATCGTCTATATCAGCGAAATTTACATTTAATGTAAGCATGGTTAAAGTCCATAAAAAGGGGAAAACTCTTTCCCATGAAAGAATGCTTGTTTGTTCCATTAAGATATTTGGGATATTGTCTAACTTATATTCTGCTGCAACTATGCCATTGTAAGTGTTGCTTAAAAGGTATTTGTGTGTGCCTGTCTGTGCTTGGTGCGGTTACGCGAGCGTGCGTTTGTGGCAAAAAAAGGGGGGGGGGGGAGAGGAGATGTCCCAGACTTGTTAATTTCCAGGGGCATAATAATTGCTCGAATAAATTTTATTAATTAAGTTATTCACACCCTTCGTTCGGGACCATAGATGAGGTGATTTTAGAGGACTTCTTCGGGGAATTCCCTAAGTCTGAACCTGTTGACCCATAGCAAACGAGGAAACGATATTTCTCTTTTTTAAGTGATCTTCTGTATATTGTACCAGGTTAGATCACATAGGAAAAAAACTATTGCACTTTGATCTTGTCCATTCTTTTCATATTTAGTTTCATAAGTACATATTGTCCTCTTGGCCGAAAATCTTGTCGAGACATGATTATTGCGATATATTATGCTCCACAATAGAGTTCACTTTTTTGCTTGATGTAGACAAAAAATAAAATAATAAATCACAGAGGCACGTAATGGCCTTGTAGCAGATAATGTAATTAAACATGTTCTATACATATTCAATACATACACACCCACGCACGCACACATACGCACATTTATAATCATTTGGACGAATTGTGATTGTTTATTTGACTTCTTTTTATATTTGTTTGCCTCGGGTGATTTGAGGATTTCGGGAGAAATCGCCTCCATTTTACCCGTCACCACCCCGTCATATAATTTCCTGATGTTCAGATGCTACTGAATATGTATTAAGCTATTTTCCTTGTTGAATTTTGCATTTGGAGAGAACAGTCGTATCAAAACGTTTAAAAATATGCATTCTTGTGATGAAGGTTCGATATGACTGTGCTCTTCAAAGGTACCTATTCATGAAGCACCTCCATCACTTTGGCGGTGATTATTCTAAAATGCCAAGAGTGGAACGTCTCCATGTGTAAAATATCTGTAGATATTTGAAGGTTATTTATACAAGTCCCGAAATGGCTTATTATGTTCACTTTTAATCGACATTGTTACGGCACATTAACATATCCCTGGTGCTTAGTAATCCGTGTCTCATGGATTTTCTGTTATAGATAGAATAACAACAATGACAATGATTCCTGGAATGATTGACTGTTTTTTAAATTGTTATGGCAGCTTTCAACAAAAGATTTATTCATCCGCTCATTATTCTATTTTTAATTGCAATTTTTTTAAATTGTTATCATAAAATAAAAAATAAACACTTAAAAAAAAAAAAATAGCTTCTTTAATGTCAAGGGGAGGGGGGGGGTGTAGTGGGCTGCGGTTAATATCAAATTGGTTAATATGTATGAAAGAAACCCAAATATATATATAGAGAGAGAGAGGAATGTATTTAGCGGACCTATAGAGAGCTATAGTTTAGTCCCGTTTTTTTGTAACAGTTAACAGCGGCTGGTAGTGCGTTATGTTTATTATGTATATGTCCTAAACTGAATTAATGCCTCTTCGTTTGATATTTTCCGATCATAATATAATGATATTTCCTTTCCAATCAGTTAATCAACAGACGTGATGTTGAATTTGTTTTTGTTGATGTTTTAAGTTTGTTACTATTGAAACATAAGTTTCACTAAAACAGAATTGTAATGCACTTTACAAATAGCATATCAAGTAAAGTAATCGAGATAATATTCAATATTATGATTGAATAATAACAATATTTAAACCACACAAATAGTAATAATAATAATAATAATATTTAATTTTTATATAGCGCTTAATACAAATGTCTCTATGCGCTTTACAAATATATACTGATATACTATTTTTGTGGTTTTAATATTTCTATTATTCAATCATAATATTCAATAATATTTCATAGTGAAATAAATGATTCATTGATTTCACTATGATATACGTGGTTTTGACAATACCACATAAAGGTTGGTTCGCGCCCTTTAGTGGTCAACTTTAAACTCTGTACAGATATTAACGGCTTGGATTATGTTTTCATGGTGTTTTTTTTTTTTAGGCAAGTGCGGTTTATTATTAGACCTCTCATTACGTCAGCTGGATTTTATCGAGTATAAAGAGAGGAAAACGGAAACTCGTTATTGCGCTGATAAGATAGTTTTATATCAGAGCAAAGTTTCGATGTATGTTGCATGTACTTTGCTTCGTATATATAATTATATACATTTCATAATTCTTGTAGCGGGGTTTACCCTGGGTTTACCATTGTATTGAAAGGTCTGTGGCCTTACAAATCCCACCATATTTGAATTTATTTGTGATTTATACTCGCTATTTTCTTTTTCAATGTATAACGTTATTGTTATTGTGATTGTTCTTTTTATTCAAAATTGATGTGAAAATAAATTTAGTTGAATTGAAAATACTATTTTAGGATTAGAGATGATTGTTAGGTGTTCTTAGCAAGCATTGATGACGAAAATACAACATTTGTATACATAGGATGCTTAATCCGGGGTGGGTAGGAGCGGGGGGGGGGGGGGGGGTGGGGTGTTCCGGTCCTGATCATAAAGCGCGCAATTCTGGTCAAATACCAAACCAAAACCATTAGAGTTTTATGTCCATTTTGAGGACGGGTACCGGCCATTACCCACATGCATATAGATATTCCAAATGCAAGCTCATCGGTTGGACAGTTGGTTTATTATTTAGAAAAGTGTTAATATATGGCACATCCAAATGTAATTACTTGTGTGAAAATGTCCAAGCCCCGACACCTTCTTCAGATGTTTGAGGTGAATATTAGAGGCAGCTTAGCTAAAAACCACGCTCTGCTACAGATGTCCTTATATTTACTAGTTATGCTGCCAAACCGACCCCAGATCGACTCCAAACCGACAGATTCTCGGCAATTTGAGGTAATGTTATGTTGGTTCGGTCCGTTGTCGGTCCTGATGTAGGGCTAGCTTGCCGGTGTGACCGGAGTACTTTATGCTGACATTAGTCCGTGTGATTTGTTTGTTTTCTGAAATCAAGGTCTTCAATCAAAGCTTTAGACGGCAAAGTAAATAAATAAATGAGGACAGATACCTAAATATCTTTCCATATTGATGACATCATCGCCAATTAGCCTGTTTACCTTGCATGCGGCTTCACGCTCTCTTTCTCTTTTCTTGTTTTATTGACAGATTTCAGCTGCGCGGTGAGGGCGCGACAAAGTAGCCTCATCCAGCAGAACAATCGCCACACCCTTGACCATCCTGCAAGGTCACATCCCCAGCAGGCCAAACTCGCCAACCCGCAGCACGGCCCACTCTTCCCGGAGGCTTCCTCAAGCTCGCAACCGTACCAACTGCAGCCGCCTCCAGTACGACAACGTACGGTCCTGCCGCAGAACATTCAGGTTGCACTTAGCGCGGCAGTCCTCTATCAACAGCAGCAGCAGCAGCAACAACAGCCGTACCTTCAGCAAGCACCCTCGACGTCGGTTCGACATCAGGCACACAACATGTTGGGGAATGAAGGTCACGTGATGGACCTGTCACCCTCGTCGGTGACATCCCTTGCGAGCGAGTTGTCGGAGTATTCAGATGATTCTTGCAGTAAAGAATTCACCACATTGACCACTCCTCTGGGATCTGTAAGTTTTAATACGCTGATCTTCTTACTGATATTTAACCCTTTGCATCCTAGGACAGGATGATCCCCTTTTAATCCTCTTTTAATCCCATCGGAATGGTACAATTCAGTAGTCAACGTCTTAAAAATTGCCCTGGCACCCCTACCCCCTCTTGTGCCCTTTTGCGTACTAACTTGTGATTGTTATGCACGAGGCGTTCTTTCGATTGCGCAAGCACCCGCGCTGGTCAAGCCTAAGAAGAAATATTAGTCCATAATTTGTGTGACTACTGTGTACTATTGATTTCGCGTTCACTTCTCGTATGACGTATCTTAAACGTCACTCCAAAACAATCATTATGACGGCATTCGCATTTAATTTTGTGCTGTTAATCATTCTTAAATAGAGGACACGAAGCAAACTTAAAGGAATTTTAAAGATATATTTTACATTTAAGTGCTTTAGAAAAACATTTCAGTGATACATTGCTGTGGAAGAAACGCTGTAATTACGCATAAATTCCAATTATATGGCTGGATACAAATGAATCCTTGAGATGTTACAATGGTTATTGTTTTATTTAACAAATGTGTTTTTAATGATAATATCTGTCAGTTTATGTATGAATGTTTTTCAAGTGACACTTCAGTCCACAAATCAATTTTAAAAAGGGAAATGCATGTTCCGGATTCTGTTTTCTTATACAGGACGTACCGACATTAGACTGGGTGATCTATAAGATGATGGAGAGAGAAAAAACGCAGCAACTTCACAGGGAAAAGATCGAGACGTGTCATCTCTATGAGCTACCTATAGGTAAGGGTCAAAGGTTACAACAATGACAACAAGATCAGTAATGAAGAGGATATCAATAATGTGAATAACTATAATGAAACAAACACTAATATCGATGATCATAATAATAATAATGGTAATGATAATACTATTAATGAAAGCCTGATAATAACAATAATAATATTGATATCAGTAACAATGATACTGGTAATAGTAATAATAATGAAAACAAAAACAAAAAACAATGATACAACTACAGCCACTACTACTACTGAGATCAACAATAATATTAATGGTAATAATATTGATAATAATTGTAATGAAAGTAATAAGAAGAACCAAGGCAATTTTATTTCAATAACTTCTTTGGAAGCAGAAAACAGATTCTAAACATGTATCAAAATACTCCATCTAAAATGGCTTATGTTACCGTTTCAGCTCATGACCTTTTGTTGCCCTTCCATTATGACGTCTTTTTATTTTCCCCGCTTAGATCCCTGGAAGTGGACCTCGACGGAAGTGACGAAATGGGCCACGTGGTTCATGCGCAAGACCAATCCAACTACTGCGCAGGACGTCACGACTACGTTTGAAAATAGTCCAATCACAGGCGAGTCACTGGCCCACTTCTCGGAAACCGAACTCAAGCAGTACTTTGGCGAGTTGAGCTCCCAGGCTCACGAGTGTCTGAGGTTATGGCTGGAAGGTGAGTTTCGTCTTGTCAATAAGAGCAGGGCCCCGTTTCACAAAACTTGTCATCAGTGACAAATGTTATAAGCTACTGAAATCCTTGCTTCTGATTGGTTATCAGCAGATTTGTCAGTGATATTTGTCATTTGTCATTGAAAAAAAGGCTTTGTGACCCCCCCCCCCAGATTGAGAGCCAGGATTAGGGCGTTAAGATGTAGACATGTGGCCTTTCTAGTCAGGTTCTACACTACATTTATTTCTGGAGGGAGACGAAAAACATGGCTTCTATACACAGATGGAGTACAATCGAACCTGTCTATGAAAACCATGCACCCAATGGCCTTTCTTGATAGGTTCTACATGCAATCACTTTTTTCTCGAAGGAGACAAAATACATGGCCACTATAAACAGGTGACCTTTAGAGAGAGGTGGCCACTAAGACAGGTTCGACTGTATATCATTTGATGCAGTTAACGCCCTTGTCATAGGTACATGTAATAAGTTTTACACCGACTTATCAAAGGTCCATGACCGAAATCTTCCGTCTATGAACTTCCGGTTTGGTTGACCTTTGGATCTCGTAGACCGTCTTTTGAACCACTGATTTGTATCCATATCAGTGTGGTCAATTGTAACATTTCCATAAAGAGTCATTATTTCTAGAAACTTCCCTCATATTTGCCCCATCAAAGTGAGCTTTCATTGAGTTCTGCGCGAGATGACGAATTGAGAGGACACTAGATCACAATTCTCTTTCATGAACGCAATGCTAGTTAAAAGTTTGGACGTTTGTCCACAATTGCAAGGCTAAACCAAAACTAAAAAGGAGAAAAAAAATATAAATGCAATATGTTGACAAAAGTCAAAACATTGCGCCACCAATTTAAACACACATATTCTTAAAAGTCCACGACCTTGCTTGCCAATTCTACTACTATTGTGCCATATATGGAAATTATGTTAAACAATTTTGGACAGAGGAAAAATGTTCAAGGTTGAATCTAAAAGGGGAAAAGACACGGAAGGTGTTTAAAAATATTAGCCAAGTTTGAAGAGTATATCCGCGTCGAAAATAAGCTGAATTAGGATGTTGAAGCGTAAAACATGAGACGCATCCGTCATTTTCTCGTGACCAACAGCTTCGAGAAGAAATAAATCAAAGCCATAATTAAAAATCGTTTGCCAAGAATTAAAATATCATCACAAGACAGGTACATTTGTATAAAACCCTCTCAATCCTAATCAGATGTAGTTTATGACGAATTTACGGAATAGATCGCAAGCTAAGTCTATATAATTATTCCTGTTATTTCAAGTCTTTGTCAGATTGGTCTTACGAAGGGGGGCTTTTTGTTGTTGCAGTTTTAGAAATAATGTAGTTAAATGGTAATTATGAGAACATGTATTTACTTTCAAATTAATAAAAAGATGATTGGTACTACAAAATCGAAGAATATAAACGGATAAAGACACACTAAAATTTTCGTATTGCACTCAGCAGAGTATTAATCGCAAAAATCCCGAAGAAAGTCGAAATCAGACAACTTACCGGCAGCTAAAACTAGTTAGGGCAAGCCATGATGTGTATTCCTCCTAGCAGTAAGTAATATATGCAATTGCGTTGTGACAGTTTAGATACAATAACAGGTGAATTAAATATTTTGTACCGGGGCACACCACGCAGACATTATGCATTCATTTGGTTACATTCATAAAATGGCCCATTACTTATTACTCTTGTTCATGGTTGTCTTTTGGATGCAGGTATGTCACCGCGAGGTTACGACATCCAAAGACATCTACTAGATCTTGAGAGGTCCAAGCAAACAATGCTCGAACAATTGATTGACGTCATGGTAAATATTAAATCATAATATTTTGAGCATATGGTATCCGATGGTACATACAATTCTATCTTGTTCACTGCCTTTGTTTGCTACTTGTACTACATGACATCTTTGTAAATGGTGTTTGAAGTAAAAAGGGAAAGAGAACACAAGAAACAACAGCCTATTCATTGAAGTTTTTTAGTGCAAAGGTTACTGAAAATTTATGATAACAATAATGTTAATGATAATGATCATAACGATTATATAACAATAACAATAATAACTAGAGATGTAATACTTGTTTGGAACAAGTATAGGTGGGCTGGTCCAACTAAAATTTTAGACAAAATAGAGCAAAATTAAGCGAGATACTGCTAAAAAACAATGTCATGTAGATTAATGATGTGAACGAAATTCACATTCAATAGGCATAACATGCAAATTAAGAAATTTCTGATATTTGCCCTTTAATTGTAATTTTCACTATGATGACGTCATCAAAATGAAAAATGGTATAAATGAGCTTGTAGAGAATTGTCTTAGCTACAACATATCAAAATTTGGAAGAAAATCGACCAATATTTACAGAGATACAATCAATTTTACATAAATATGCTGACGTCATAATATGCAAATTCGTATTTTGAGTTCCAAGGCCATTATGACACGGACATTTATCTTGAATGGACGCTCATCTTGTTATTAATGGTCATAAAGAGATAAACATGGTATCAAATTGTTTGAAAAAATATGAGAAATATCATGAAGGAAAAAAAAATAGCGATTCTATGTTGTGTAATGGTGTTACGCACGAAAACGCGCGCGCATGCGCGTGTGCGCGATTTTTTATAAAATGCTTAAAATGACCTAAAACGTATGCAAAATAAATTTGAGACGATTCTGAGCATTTGTAAATTTTGCGCGCGCATTGACGCGCGGAAGTTCGCGCACGCGCGCATTTTTTGACATGAAATTGACTGGATTGATATTGACCTTGATCATGATAAATATGACTGAGAAATGACTTACCGTTATGAAAATATGATCATGATTAAATTTTCGGAAAATTTCACAAAATGGCGCCTAGATGACGTCATCAGTCAAGGTCAAGATTGAAAACTTTACTGTGTTTTTTCCATATGCCTATTCATATGTGTGCTAAATTTCAATGCATTTGATTGAGCCATTTTCAAGTTATCTTGTTAACAAAAAAGTGGTTAGAAATAAAATAAAGAAATAATAATAAAGGCAATTTTAACGAAAACATAAGGTGGTCTGTATTATATACAGCCCACCTGATAATAACACTCATATCAATAATACTTATATCAATAATAATAATAATAGTGATAATGTTATCATCAATATTATAATTAATTATGATTATGACTATAAACATAAAAATCATTATGATGATATAATGACGATACTACTTTATAGCGGCAGTATCTGCTAGGACATTCATGGTGCTTTACATATTGCATAACATATAAATACATTAGCAACGTTGCAATCGCTAACACGTTTATTTTGAACCGTTTACAAATAGAACCACAACGACTCCATCAGCCCTGCATCGGAGGTCGAGAACCCGTCAGTGACCTTGACCCCTCCCCATTCCGACTACGACGTCCCGCTCAGCAGCAGCAGCGACGACGCCTTCAGGAACGTCATCGTCCAACACATCAAGCCCGAGTACACCGCCTTCCCTTTCTCCGAACACTGCATGTCCGAGTATCAGAATCACTATAACATTACACCATTGAAGGTAAGGACATTGAACATTCTATCCATCTCTCATTCGAATTCCGGGGAGGGGAAAAAAATCTCTGTATATAGTATAGATATATCGACTGGTATCAGAGGCCTGGCTTTTTTCATGGGCTCAAGGGGACGTTGCATCATGTCATGACCCCTCGGCGCGCCAGTGTGCCTCTCATAACAGTCGATATATCTTTATTGTATACCAGCACTTCATGCCCGAGATCAGTCCATGCCTGTATTGTGAGCATCAGAATCGCTAGCAGTTAATGAAATAGTACATTCAATCCACCACTCTAGCAAATTCCGGGGAGGGGGAAAAGAAAATAGTCCCCATGAACAGTAAATACTTGATGTTTTACCAATCGAAACTGGTTTAGAGCATTTCTATCTATTAGTTTTCTTCGCTATGATGCTATTTCATCCCCAAAGAAATATGAACAATTGCAACAAAAGTCTCCATGTACGGTAAATACTAGATGTCTTACCTACCAAAACAAATTTAGGTCATGTTTATCAAGCTCCCGTATTTCAACCCGAAATAATTAAAAACAGCTGTCAAATAGAATGATTGAATTGTACAACTCAATTATGAATAAGACTTTGATTGTGGAAGTCAGAAAAGAAAGGATTAGCTCGAATCGCTGGGTCAATGAACTCACCCAATACAGCCTGAAGATGACATTCATTTGTTATCACATACCTAAAATGTGGGGTACAATGATAAGGTGTATTGAGTCAGTGACAAGGTTTAATGGGAAACAGTTTAGTTTATTCCCCTTTGTCATTACAAAGGAATACCAAATGAGGATTATTTAGCCTATTTTGATACAAACGGGGTTTCAAGGACGATTTTTCAAAAGTAAACCATTTAATAATAATAATACCTATTTGTCAACGAATATCGCAGCCAGACTTCCCGATATATCATTTCATATTTCCTCTTATTAATACATGTTTACGGAAGCAAATATATCAATGCTTCACCATATATGATGTATTACCCTCTTTTTGTTAACTGTAAGCGAATTCGTGAAATCGAGACGACGGAATACATTCAATTCTTTAATGTACTTTAATGTAATATCGCTTGGGTTAAACATGAACTCGTTTTAATGTCCAAAAGTCGTTCTCCATGCGGAACTGAGCATGATTTATTCCCCAGTGGTTTATTCTGCACCGTTTTCCTTTCATCTGTTCATACGTCTACATCCCTTCTTGCACACACAGTGTCCAGAGCCGCCCTATCACCAAACCCAGCCGGATATGAGCGGCAGCGGCGGGATATTCGGACCGGAAACCATAGGACCGGATGGCATGGTACCGGATAACCTGGGCCCGTTCATCGACAAGGAATACAAGTTGGACATCGAATCGGATGATGAACCGGGAAAGCTTTTTACGGTGAAAGAAGAGATACATATTGAACCGCCACCCATCAAAAGAAAACGGGGCAGACCAAGGAAGCCACGCTTTCCAAAGCAAAGTAAGTTGAAATACATAATTGAAAATGGTATCTCATTGAAATATGTAGGCACTTGTCTACAGAGACCACCTGCCTATAAAGACCACTTTTCTTGTCTCCCCTGGGTGGTCTTTATAGACTGATTTCACTGTGATTGTGTAGTACTTTTCGATTCGAATCAGAGGTTTCCTACATTACACAACTGGGCCCCATTTCACAAAACTTGTCATCAGTGACAAATGACAGTCTTTGTTATAAGCTACTGAAATCCTTACTTCTGATTGTTTATCAGCAGATTTGTCACTGATTTTTGTCATTTGTCATTGAAAAAAGGCTTTGTGAAACGGGTCCATGTATGCTACAGCACCCATAGCCCAGAATATTCTTGTTCATTCAAGGCTTGCGAAAGATTCAGTAGATTCAGCAGATTCAGCACTAATGGTCTATAAAAAGTTGTAATAAAAACAATCGACAACAGCATTAACATCAAAGGACAGACACAAAGTGGGAACAATTTCTCGAGGTTCAGCAAATATTATTATGATTATGGCTTTACGCTTATTAGAGCTGTATAATGAATGATAAACAGAGCTTCAAAACACAAGGTCCTTTCATTGTGATGATGAATGGGGGACCAATGTCAATCGGTGGCGGTACTTTATCTATGGAAAAGCCACGCTTGACTGGAATTGTTTCAGCTAACCGCTTTGGATCGCTACCCGCAGGACAGACATTACGTAGCCAAACATCACTTTTAAGCCATTTGAAAAATGGATTGTTGAGCTACATGTCCTTTATTTTAAAATAACCTCGGTGTAAATAATAAACTCTATATCTTGCCATAGTATGGTCTTTGAGTGGGCTTAATAAAATGGCAGCTAGCCAAAGGATAGCAATTTTTAGTTTATTGCGTGTTCAATCTAAACCAAGGTTGTCCCTCCAGTTATGAGAAATCTTAAGTCATCATTTCATCATTTCAATTTAGTCCAATGAAATTGAATCTTTTTAATTTCCAACTACTCCTTGAAGTCGTATAGTTGTAGGTCTGATATGATTGCAGGTTTACATATTTGCAAGAATTATAACTCGAAAATAGCTTTGAGTAGGCCCACCAACATGACATTATAAAGCCATGATATTAATGGTCCCAACTTTCTTCGGCCCCGCCACAGGTCACTCAAATGGCGTTGGCTTTGTAGTTTTGACAAAGTAACCGGTAGTGTTCTGACAATCCAGATTACCCGCAGTATTACTTTCAAAGCAACATAATAATTACAAAAATGATACAGAATTTCACGCAAAATAATTATATGATTTGATGTAGGATTTAGACCCAGGTGAGGTAAATGGGTAGCCTACCTGGTAGGATTATTCCTTGAAAGGCACTGGTCGCTGATTACGGCTGCCCGAGCTTAAGCTAGGTTTATTAGTACCAAAGCTCTTTGAAAGCGCATAGAGATGTTGTATAATGTGATATGCGCTATACAAGAACTGAATATTATTATTTATTAATATAATATTTCCAGTACTACAGGTAATACGAGAACATAAATCCACGATAGTCATGCCTCGCAATTTTTATGGCGGCTCTAGACAAGAAAAGGTTGCGGTTTCTCTATTCACATTCCGACCACACTGAACAGCATGATCCATCCATCAAACTAATAATTCATGAAGAATGCTTTGAAAAGTAGCGAAGAGATCGAGTTCACCAGTGCACGTAACAATCCCTGCGGTTTACTGAGGGGAACATAAAATGATCTCTTTCATGCAAAAAAATTGCTATTGTGAACAAGTGAAATTAAAATTGTTGAAAGGATATGGGTGACGATTTAGCTTTCAAGGGTGAGAAAACCGCAAATTTAATTGCACATTGTAAGTCATACTGGTTGTCATCTGAAATTAAAAGGCGGAATGGAAAATAGGAAAATTACAGCCTTAAAGATAAAGTTGAGTTTTGGTCATGCGATTGCATTGTGAAAGAAACGGTGTGGAATCGACCAGAAAAAAGTTGATCATGTAGCATATAAGTATTGGTGTGAACTGCAAGGTTCTGGAGTCATAAAAATGATAAAATATTTGGCCCAGTCTTGGTAAAAGTAATAAGTACTGTACACAGAAAGATGTATATGGGACTACACAAACATGTGGCTTAAAAATGTGATCCTTATTTTTAAGCTGTTACATGTCATATTTAGAATATGAAGGCATTTGAAGAGCCATGCTTTACAGGGAACATTTTTTCTCATATTCTCTCACATTTGCCTAAAACATGAAAACGCTCACAAATCCTGAACAGGGCATAACATATTAAAGGGACTTGGTAACAATGTTCAGATGAGAGATAGTGGTGCTAAGGTAGTGACTTCAATGCTAGATGTACAATTAAAGATAATCTGAAAATTTGAGTGAAATCGGACCATTATTCATGGTACAAATTGGGAAAAACTGATATGATCGATTCCTTAATTCTCCCAACTATATTATTACCATTTAATTACATTTTAGGTGCATGGAAATCTCACAAAGCAATAAAATGGCTCTACGTTCCATTCCAGACATTTAAGTGTTGACAGATTTTGTTTATAGGCTGTTTTATGTCTTTTTTTCATGGAAAAACGGTTGGGAAAATTCAAAAATGGTTGGGAGAATTAACTGTTAATCACTGTTAGAGGGTGTCGTACATCGACGCCTTCAAAGAAAACCAAAGATATCTTCGTGGTTTGAGAATTTTTTCAGGATTTTTTGCATGTCAGAGGGTTAGTACAGTAGAAGGAAAAAAAGTAAGTAACATTTTATACAAAATGAAGCAATTTTTTTCCATCAAATTTTAACAATGTTACCTAGTCACTTTAAAGGGTAGTCTAAACACCCAAGATTCTTGTTTTATGATTATGAAGAGAACATAAAACTGTTACACCTTTTGGGTCTTCTATTATTGCGGTAAAGTGATCTAGAATGACTGCGAGTCGATGATCTCAAGATTTAGTTACGCTAGGACGATGATAATATGACAACAATAATAACAGGTATTCCATTCCAAGGTATCATTGAAAAGACTTTGTCTATTCCCACCTTGTGTATGCTGTATTATTCGTGGGAAAATGTCACATTTGAAATTCACAGCCAATTTTTAATAATGGGGAATATTGTTTCGGGTTTAAGGGTAATTTCCCCCTGATAGGGCCTACGTGTTGAATCGGAGCAAAACGTTATTGAGCGTCATTGTATTTTTGCAATGTTTGGATTACCATGCGTGAACTTTGTGTCACCCATTATAGATGCGCGCTGTTGCCTCAACTTTCTTTGTCCATTCGAGATGACAATGAATTACAATAGCCCTATGAGTAGGAATATGAACATGATAATAATAATAATATTCCGCTTTGAGGCCTGAATCCGATGACCGGGGTAATACTATAGCTGTATAGCGCTTTATACATCGACGATGTCTCTAAGAGCTTTTCATATATATTATTACCCAGGTCATCGGATTCAGGCTTGCCCGCACACAATGTATGCACATTTTCCACTCCCCGGTGAGCATTCCAGCCAGGCGTCATTTTACAGACGCTCACAATGCCGAGCAAACTACTTTCGCATTCTACCGGGTACCCATTATTTTGACACCTGGGTGGAGAATGGCAAATGTAGATTAACGTCTTGCCAAAGGACGTTAGTGCCGCGGGCTGGGATTTAAAACCCCGTATGCCTTGTAATATGCAGTCGGGTGACTGATCTACTAGACAACAACACCTCTACATAATCAATACCGAAGGGGGGGGGGGAGGGGTGGTTCTATATTTTCCCTAAATATTCCCTTTTATCATGCTCATCCCGCTGCTTGATCAAACACAACACATTCCTTTAGATTGTAAAAGCATTACAAATGAGGGTCGATTATGTTTACCATAATTTGTTATGGTATAATAGTTTGCGAAGGATTTTTTTGGTACACATTTCCTCTCAAAATCCCCAGGACCAACTATATCAAGCAACAGTAATCTTCTAAAAAGTTTTACAATTTTTATGAACCATGGTACTTTGAGGCCATACAACAGATTGCCTTGTTGACATGGAAGAAATTCATAATATCATCGGTGCATTGATTTCTAGTTCTTTTCATTTATTTTTTCACTTATGTTTTATTATTTATTCATTTTATTTATAATATATTCATCTTTTACTAACTTCATTGATTATGTACTTAAGCCTATTTACTTATTTTTTGTTTATTTATTCAATAATTTATTTCTTTATTTATTATTTACTCTTTTAATTTATTAGGTATTTATTAATCTAAATTATTATTAATTTATGTATTTATTTATTCATCTGTTTATTGATCATTCATTTAATTTAATATTATTTATTCTATATATGTATTGATTTTATCATTCATTCATGTATATAATTTTGTATTTATTCATGCATTTCTTTCATTCATTCATTTTTCTATTCCTTTATTTACTTCTACTTCCAGAGCGGGACCAACCAATCCTCTACAAATTCATCCTGAAACACCTCAACAATCCGTCCGGTGACAGTGGCAAGTACCTCAACTGGGTCAACAAGCCCGAGGGACTCTTCCGATTCTACTCGGCCAGGAAGGACGAGTTCGCCGAGATGTGGGGACGATTCAAAGGCAAGAGGGAACACATGACCTATCAGAACATGGCGCGCGCACTGCGCAACTATACGCGCGGGAACCGTAAAATCATGACCAGCGTGCGCAAGAAGTTGCACTACAAATTCACGCCCCTTTTCATTCAGTGAGAGGGAGAGAAAGTGTTGGCTGGCCCGCGGGAGGGGAAAAAACCCCATCTCTGAGAGTTATTTTGTGGAACGAGCTCAAAAAGGAAGCGATGTCTTCCAATCGTGATGGTGTTGTGTAAAAACAAACAAAGAAATAAATGCGAGGCAATTCTGGCAGCGATACGGTGAAAAGCCATCGGTTGTGACCATAAAGGAAATACATATTTTTTATTACCATAAAGGAAATACAAATCTTTCCTGACTGTGTATTCCTGATTTGTGTATTTGTGTTTTTCCTTTTGGCGAAGACAATCTTTAAGGTGCCAAAAAGAATCATATACACGATGGTATGCATTTTTTTTAATGAAGAAATGACTAATGAAATCGTAACTGTTTATTTTTCCTTTTTAACAAGTCTCTTCAAAGAGACGTTCAAGTTGATTTCATCTATTCAATGGCATCTTCTCGTATATTCATAGCTCAACATTTTGCAAATTTTCTGATCTTGTTATCAATTTGAGGATCACATTCATTGGCGATCGACTTTTGTCCTATTAAAAAAAAGCTGAGGACATGCAGGTCTAATATCGAAACACTCACATTTTCTTTTTCAATTACCCAAATCGGATATCAAGAACTGCATTTTATTTCATCCGATTAATCTGGGATGAGTTTTTGTGAGGTGTTATCCTTACAGCTTGCCTTTTTCCTCATGCATCCCATGAATTTGTCAGATCTTGCCTTCTTTTATAACACATTCTCCCTTAAAAAAAAGGATTTCGCTTATGAAATGTTTTTCGATCTCAATGAAAATCATGGTCCAATTTTTGTTGTTAAATCAACTAATGCTGTCATAATTCTGGACAACCCGTTTCAGATGTAATTTGATACGCCCTCGTGGCTTTTATTAATCGATAGTGTTTATTGACAAACCTAAATAAATTCATTACCTCAGTCCCACATGATTGGAAATCTTGTACTTTTTATTGTGAAGTGCGGGACCAACTAAGGTTGGCTCTAATGCATCCTTTTGTACGCCCAAAGCGATTAGAAAGTCGCAGGAATGTTTTATAAAATCAGGGCCCGTTACACAACCCTTTTCAGTGACAAATGACAAAAATCAGTGACAAATCGGCTGATAACCAATCAGAAGCAAGGATTTCACTAGCTTATAACAAAACCTGTCATTTGTCATTGATGACAAGTTGTGTGAAATGGGGCCCTGTTCATTAATACACAGAATATATAGCATGGTAATGCGACGGTTTCAGAACACGACAAGCCGGTTTGGCTTGTAATACGCACATTGTGGCTTGTATTTCAAATTGAAATTTACTTCTGTAGATAATATACATGTTATTTTATAGAGTATTATCCATCCGTCTTATTTACTCAGTATTTGAAGCAATACAATATAGATAAACCTTGCTTTATACACGTAAATAATTTCATGTTCTCGACTGGCAGCTAGATTTATGTAAGGTATATGGAAAGCAAAATTCTTCGTTTCTGTACCTGCATTATTAAGCTATCTAAAGGACAAACTACATTTTATACATAGTCTTTTTGCTAGAAGAAGGAAAATATGAAAAAGAAGTAGGACCTAAGTGACATTTTGCTGGAAATTGTCGACATAAAATTAACAAGTCAAGAGAAATGAACTATCATGTTGTTTATTATTCTGCGGTCATGACGTGTGGCGTCATAATGCGTGTCGTCATAATGCGAATAGCATCCACAAAATTGTAAATTTCCAATTTTTGTTTAGGTCCCTACATATTACTGAAAACAGGAAGTCGCTCAATGCTCATTACGGCAAAGACGTTGGTTTTAATGTGTGAAAAACAAAAATATACATGACGTTAAATTGCCATATGCCTTCATGGTGACCCGTAATTGGTAAAAATGCTCCCAAGCGAGTAGAGATGGTGCACACATTGTTTGTGTACGTGATTCAAATGACAAAGGGAATATAAGACGTGATACCCAAACACTACACGTTTTAAATTACTATTGTTATCATAAGCGGGTAGACAGTTTAATACGTCATTGGATTTGTAATAGTATATCGAAGGCCTGATCAAATATTTACCTTGTCTATATTGGAGATACAATAACACGGAAGGTAAAAATAGAGAGCAAACTGTTTAATGTTTTTAATAAAGTTTGCGTGCGTGAGATATATAACCTAGAATATATTAGGAGCACGTTTTAAAGGAAAGATATTCTTAGTGTCTTAGTACCGTTCTCTAGTATGACGTTTACATTGCTATGATAACAGTACGATATGTAGATTGTTTACCCAGAAATCATCTTGAAAGTTATACTTGGGAAGATTATAACAATTTATTTACAAAAATAGACATATTTTATTTTAATGAGATTCGTGGATTTGTAAATAAATGTTTTGATGTTTAAGCTTCTTCTTTTTGTAAGTGCAACTAAGCCAGATTTTTATTTTGTAACGCAGTTGATAGACTGTCAAGTCTTAGATTTTATGTATAAAGTTCATTTATTTTTGGTTTGTGAGTGTGGATACGCTTTTATGTCTCCCGAATATCGGAGAAAGAGATTTATAATATTTGAAAATGTTGTAAGGCAAATAGAAATATAATCTACGACATTTAAAAAGAGAATTATTAGAGGAATTATAATAGGAAAAATCACTTCAGTGCTTTGACGAGTATTTCTGTATATATTATGTGTTTTCATTTTTTCAGAAAGTTTGTAAATATATGTTTTGTAATGTCAATGAGGAGCTGGACTCTCTATGGAGACGTAATACGTGTCCATATACCGACAATTGTTGCAGCTAAATACAAGCATGTACTATGTAAATAAGTATTATCCTTCCATTTTTTATAGAGTACTATGAAGACGACTGTATCTTTTGCAAACAAATCCAGTAATTCTTCTTGCAAGGCCAATATTTCTGTTTCAAAATTGAATTTGATGACATAGTTTTGAAATAAACGTTATTTTTTATACATATTTGATGCTACTTTTTTACAATAAGTATTATGCCGTTCGATTCTTATGTTAAAAAAGTACTATGTTTTGCGTGTACTATTTGCAGACACATTTTACACCAACTCGTAATTTGAGGTCTGAAAGGTTTTATTCTTTTAATTGACTTTGAAGACATCATGACATAAATACTATTTTATATACGTTTGTTATTACCTTTATATACTTTCAATCAAATATGGCGATAATGAACAAAGAAAAGGTAATAGACAAAGAAAACGTTGACTATCCTCTGAATTTAAGGTGATTTTAGTTTTCATCATCGATTGTACATGCTTTTTAATACACAGTTAAGAGAAAATATTATATCCTAAAAATATAGATCTATTCTTCCATGGAAACAAATTATATCTTCTCTTTCTTTGTATTTTTTCTCCCTCGTCTTTCTTTACACAATGTTTTTGGTTGTAAACATGCAAACGGGCATTATGTCTTGTCTAGATGCCTCTTAAACCCCGCCGCGGCAAAATAAGAATTATTTTATTTGCAATTTAAGGGGAAGAGGGATGGAAAAGACGGTGACAATGACAACTGTTTTTCCTGTCGGGAAATTATCGCAGTACTGAAAGCTTACTGGTTGCCAGTAAAATAATATCACGTACGCTCTTTCTCACAGTATGATTTGGCGATGTATATTTCACAGTAAATTCAATAACAGTATGCTGCTTCTTTATTAAGTGATCTATCAGTCATTCATCTCTTTTAAAATATATCGAATTAGAATCCCTATTATCATACCCATACTTATTACAACAAATAATTCTTTTATAAATATACCAACGTTCAATTCATAATCGAATCGATTTCGGTTTGCTAATTATATATCTCTATTTCAAGATTAAAAGCATGTAAAACTAACTCCTTCAAATGACTTATACTTAATATTTAAAAAGTGATACTGTGATAATAGAAATTCAATATTTTCGTAATCCGATTCATTATCATCACCATCTATCATTCGATTCTTATTTAGGAAGATGAGAATTGAGTTGCTATCACCTTAATTACGTTTTCATTTCCTTTGTCTCGTACTAAATACGTCATAATTGCTTTTGCGGTTAAAGTACTTTTTGTATGGTATCCTTGCATTTATGACTTTTGTTTTCAGTGCTGCTAATCGTATTAAGAAAAGGAAATTGATGCCGGTTTAACGGACTTCCTTGAGTTGCTATTGAGTCTTCCGATAAGAGTTGATATCTAAAGATGTTTATTAGATATGGGTGATAATCATATGATGAAATCATTTTGTGTTGTAAAAAGGTAATAAATCGGATCCTTTTATATAAAAACATGAATCATGGTGCATTATGGTTGTTCTTGGGTATCTGAGTTTTGCACAAATGACAAAGTATTATTTTTAAAAGAGATTGGAATATTCAATATTTTAGAAAAAATACATTATTGGTTGTTTCTTTGATTGAATGACTGGTGGATTGTGGTTTTCATTGATTAAACTCGATTGATTAATTGGGTGATAACTTGATACTGATGGATTGGTTGATTGTTTGATTGACTAACTTAAAGATTAGTTGATTGATTGAATTATTGATTGGCTGAAGGATTGACTGAAAGATTCGTTGATTGGCTGATTGATTGACTGACTGAAGGATTGGTGGTTGATCGATTGAATTATTGATTGGCTGAAGGATTGACTGACTGAAGGATTCGTTGATTGGCTGATTGACTGGCTGACTACTTGGTTGATTGATTGATATTGATTGGCTGGTGGATAGATTGATTGATTAATTGATTGCTTGATTGACTGACTAAAAGATTCGTTGATGGGCTGATTGGTTGACTGACTGAAGGATTGGTGGTTGATCAATTGAATTATTGATTGGCTGAAGGATTGACTGACTGAATGATTCGTTAATTGGCTGATTGATTGGCTGACTGAAGGATTGGTGGTTAATTGATTGAATTATTGATTGGCTGAAGGATTGACTGACTGAAGGATTCGTTGATTGGCTGATTGATTGACTGACTGAAGGATTGGTGGTTGATCGATTGAATTATTGATTGGCTAAAGGATTGACTGACTGAAGGATTCGTTGATTGGCGATTGGCTGACTGCTTGGTTGATTGATTGATATTGATTGGCTGTTGGATAGATTGATTGATTAATTGATTGACTGACTGATTGAGATTCAAATATACTATAGCGGAGATAATTATAGAAGAAATTAATTATTGGTTGGTTGGTTGGTTGATTGATTGACTGGTGGATCTTTTTGGTTATTGGTTAAACCGTCGATTGGTTGATTGATTGATAAACAGATTGGTTGAATCGTTGGTTGCCGGCTGAGTAGTTGAAATATTAATTGGTTTAACTGATTGATTGATTGATTAAGTGATTGGGTAATTGAGTGATTGATTGACTGACTGATTGACTGGTTGACTGACTGATCGGTTTATTGGTTGATTAATTAACTGATTGATTGATTGGTTGAATGATAGAATGGTTGCTGGATTGATTGGTTAATAAGCTATTGGTTCCTTCTTCGAAAGGGCGTTTGACAAAGAAATATGGCAATTTCCTAATTTTCCATTGAAATGAGACTGGAGCTCAGAGTATCATTGTAAGCGACTGTATGAAACATAATGTAACATTTATGAAACCTACATAGAAAAATTATCAAAGATTGCACGTTATTGAAGGGTAGGCCTATATTTGAAAATACCATCTTGCCAGTTGAAAAGGGTGTTTCAAATGAAAGCAAGAAACAAAACATAATTTATGAATGCG